CCGGCAAGCTCTGTACGCCCATACCTTGGCTAAATGTTGATCACGGTGATATGGACAACCCGCCCGCAGTACCGTTGCATGTACGCAAGCTTAGAAATATTACTGCCTTTGCCCAACAGTGAGCTGCGTTTATTGGAACCTCTCGCCCGAGCCTCACTAGATGTGACCTGCTGTTGTATGGAAGGGAATGGCTACGGTGTGGTGGTCGCTCGTGCGCTGCATAACGGTGTTTTCATCATCCGTAAAGACTGTTTAAGCTTAGATATGTGCACCTGTCTCACATCTTTCCAACCCTCGCAAAATCAATGGAATTGTATGAATTATGCACTTCGTCGTGATGTGCATTTTGTATTATCCCTGGTGTGGTATGCGGCCTAACCAACTATATCAGGGACCACACCTTGCTTGCCCCGAGGGCTCAGGCAGAGCCTCGATCTCATTTAAAGGTAGCTGGCCAAAGACAATGAAGTTCAGTACAACGTATTTCAGAGCACCAAGCCCAAGGAGGCATTCCAGAAGGTCATGGTCACCATAGGGAAAAAGGACGGACGACTTGTTGACTTGTCCTGTGCAACAGCTACAGCTTGTTGGACAAAGCGTTCAAGGCGCTGGCTGACGCCTTTTCAACACATTCACATCGAGCCACGGCGACACAGCCAAGAGCACAGCAGCAGAAGGAAAAGTGGAGGTAGGGGTATCACGACTCGTGACCAGAACATGATAACAGGCAGATTTTGACTGGCGGGAAGGAGGAGTGAGATGACGCTTGTGAACCTGGATCTGTGTGGAGTGAACAGTGTACATTGCGTTTGGACTCAGCGCAGCTGTAAACGTTTTACAAAGCCTACTGCAAATGTGCAAACCGAGTATCTGCTCATTTTAATCAAGCTGCTTGGTGCTTTACTACGTTATAATTTATTATTTAAATACCCTTGACACAATCAGTACACTATCTGCACGTAAAAGACATCGACGTGTAAATTTGCATACTTTGCGTAGTAATGTATTGCAATTGGTTAGAATATTTCCAGTAGCTGAACTGATATACTCTATCAATATTTTTTGCACCAAGTTGTGCCAACGCATGAGCATCGTAATGTTTTGCCGATCCATTTGACTGGTAGTTTTCATAGGTAATCGTGCTGCCGCATCAAGGCAGCGGCAAGGTACTCGACAGCACAAGATGACCACAGTCATGGAAGGGTGATGTAGCATGATATTTATGATTTCATAGTATCTGCACAACGCACTATGACTCCGGCCATAAACAAAGCAAAGCTACCGTCGGGCGCCGACGATGACTGACTTATAAGCAGCGGTGACTGATACACAAAGCAGGAAGGTGAGCGTGCTAGATCCTAAAAGACCACCGTCGTTAAAGTGGCTTGAAATACAGTTTATGTTATGTAACGCACACATGTACACCCACACCCACCCAACCACACACAAACACAACACTGAAAGGCAACATCGCATGTCACAATGGGCGCTCCAAACACATTGCTCCACTTCGCATGATAATGCCAGGTTGCATTACTCCAATAAGCAACTCATTCTTCCGAACTCTTAGCTGCATAAAGCCCATATTACAAACAGTCAGGCAGGGGGGGGGGGGGAGGGGCGAGGGTGGGGTCACCACACTTTCCAATAATTAAATTAGCGACGACTACAGCCTGATAAAGTAATATCTTCTACGCTAGTTGAATGTTATCAGCGATTCTATAAGTCAGTTGTGCGTTCATCATCGTACATTCATCCACACATCCATCCATTCATCCATCCATCCATTCATTTCTTCATCCACTCCGTGCAAATGAACAGTCTCAAAGCATATGCAAAACTGAGTCGACAGCATAATTGTATCATGAGTTAAATCATAAAGCTGTGCCCCACGCTCTACAACAGCAGGAAATTTATAACTTTCATTTGAGGTGTGATTGTATGGCGAAGAGCTCAATATTTAGTATGTTTCCTCAACTTTCTTTCTGGTGCACCTTCCATACACTTATACCAAGAACCACGCATATATATATATATATATATATATATATATATATATATATATATATGCATAGATACTACACACATCCTATACGTAGATATACTTAGCACCACGACAGAGGAATAATGTATAATGCTGTGGGGCATTCAGGATGGTACCTGGGCTAAAAACCGGCCTGATGTCAGGATGGAGGCTTTTGTCGTACATACAGAGATATAGCAATGAGACTTTGTGGTACTTGATGAGAAGCCAAAAGTTATGTGTTGGAACTGCTATTTAAAGCACTGACCCAAATGAAGCGTTTCAGGGTCTAAATAATACTTGCAATTGGATGGAAGCACTTTTTCAAGATGCATTACCCGTGATACAAACTCGGAAATTGGTTGCTGAGCAAATGTCAATGACATTGACAACCGAGTCTGATCATGTCCTGTTCTCTGTGCAATACGGTCAGTTTTGCACGCCAGGTCCAGGTCCAACAGTAGAAAGCATGTTTGTGCATGGGCGGAGAAACAGGGAGGGGGGGCAGGGGGCGTTGCCCTCCCCCCACTTTTCAAGGTGTGGGGAGGTGGGCAGCAATGTTAGCTGGCCTTCTACTTTTTATAGTGATGTTGCATTTGGCTTAATTTTGCACTACATTAAACATACATGCCGATTTACCTAATTCCCCAGCCATCTCCCTTAGGATGCTTCATCTTTTTCGTTTGCTCATTGGCCATCACTTAATGTTACAGCCGCAAGGCCGACGTCGCACGGCCTGGAGATTGCAACGTCGGGCGTCGAGGCTGTTATTGCTATGACTTGCGAGCACGCATATTCAACACCACATTACGTAGTTTTCTTATCAGTAATTGTTTTCTTATTACTTAATTAATTCTTTGACAGGATCTTGAGCATTTTAGACGAACATGAACTAGTTATGTTAATACAAATTAGGAACCCCATTTCCTCTGCAACATGCAGTCAGTCAGTACTCAATATCGCTGAAGAACACAGAAAAACACGGAACTCAAGTCTATGTGACAACTATCGGACTACCTGCAGTGATCGGGGATGTTGCTGCGTCAGTGGGGGGCTCCTGTGCTAATTCGGGGTTAACTGCGCGGGCCATATGGCCTCCCGTGTCAGGGATGGGAACAATATGATATACTATACCTTTCTAACGGTCTCCGGATGGACCAGGAGATCCCGCCCCGTGCCACCAGAATGATAGCCAGAAGACACTTCGCGATCGGACGGAATGGCCCTTTAGCCCTTGACCTGAAACGATAATGTACCGCTGGTGTTCTACTCAAGAGGCCCCTTGGTCGGAAGGAAATAAGGGGTCTCATTATTGTTGAATAGAGTGAGGTTCTCATTACTGTTGAATAGGGCGGGTCGAAATGAATTAAAAAAGCGAGCAAGGTCATACCATGTTTGGCTGAAAACGCTAATTTTTTCAGAATGTATTACTGAAACGAATGACATCAAGATGCTTGAACATGCCCGCCCGCAACATGCCCGCCCACATCTCATTGTTCAAATCATAAGGCCTGAGCCCGGAATTTCTGGTACCTTCGACTCGTCAAAGCATGCAACAGTGTTATAAAGGTGGGCTGCATATGTAAATTAAAAATGTGTAAATGTTTAAAGGTGTAAATGTAAAATGTGAGTTACTGTTTTTTTGGGTGTGCGTGTTTTGTTCAGCATGACAGAAATATGAAACAACCGACATTTGCATTCCTCAAGTAGTTCTGTGATCCCCTTTTCCGCAACTCCGATGCATTCTTCTTCCAGTACGCCCCCACTACCTCTTGTCCAGCACTTGCGAAGACGCCTTCACATCAATCAGAGCCCGACACCAAACCCAATATATTGCTCCTTTCTTTCCAGGCAGCCCAGAAATCCATTTTAAACCTGTACAAACTACTGTTGTGCTGCATTTAAAGGTGCCCACCAGACAACACATGCCGCGCCAGGTTTGGAGCATGCCTTAAGTATGTTGGAGAGTATGGTGATGAATGGGGTCGGGCTCGGAGCGCACACGTAGTTTCCGTAAGGAGACTGAGCTTCGAGCAGGCCTGAACGTTTTACGTCCTCCCTCAGTACTACCTGCCACCGGCTATAATTTTGTCGTGCACTCAGCCACCCTGGCTGTCGAGGTCCTTCGCCGTTTTGCTTTCGCGGTCGAGGATAGCAATTCAGCCGTAAATGGAACTTTAACGCGAGGACACGGTAAGTCCCGAGGGTAACGGAAGACCGCCTTCGTGATTGAACTATCCCATGGTGTTGGGCCGGTGTGCCTGCATTCTTCGCAGCAACAGATATCTTGACATTAGTTGAATGATAGTGTGTAAATGAACGCTTCGGCTTTGTGCATGACAGTGCAAGTTGCGGTGACAAAAGAGGCTTTCGGTGATACGCCGATTTCTAATTACGTTGCTGGGCATGCACGCCATTGCCATTTTTGTCATTTAGTATGGCGTTAAGCAGCTGGCGACCATTAAGATCGCAGAAATTCAGGTCGAAGACACAAAATACATTTTTTACCATCCCTGCCAACAGGTTGTTAATTTTGTAGCTCGTTTTTAGGGCCTATATAGAGGGACGGACTCCACAGAAGGTTCTCAAATGTTTGTGAGGGATGCAGAAAATATATTTCGCAACTAAAATCGAGCACACGTTGACACCAGCCTGAAATGTGTTTTTTACGATGAAGGGGAAATTAGAAAACCACATAGCACATGGGGCTACAAAAATGCCAGTAGCATAGATCAACAAATATAAAACCCAACAATAGACTGAACGCAGGCATTGTGCCAGGCATACTATGCGCCTCTGAGGCTGATTCCGTTATGCTGAGCCACTGTGTCACGTCCCGTACCGTCCCAACTGCTTCCACAACCCCCAACAGCCGTATCCTTCTTGGTGACCCCTCGTCGTGACCCACGTCGGAACACGGGCCGTGAGTGGTCTCCCTCTGACCTCCATAAGGGCCCGTCTCGGTCCGGTGCGGGGCCTAGCCGCAGAGCGCAGCGTCGGCCGTGTTCTCCTGGATCCATGAGAGGACCGACGTGACGCGTGCGAACACGTCCGGAACGTTGGGCCTAGCGCACGGGAAGCCGAACGACACGATGCCGATGAGCGCGTAGCGGTCGGAGACGGACGTCACCAACGGGCCGCCGCTGTCGCCTTCGCAGACGCCCTTGCCGCCGGAGGACACTCCGCCGGCACAGATCATGCTGTCTTTCAGGTGTTGGTTCCAGACCCTCTTACAGTTCGCCTGCGTCCAGACAGACAACTCCACTTCGAGCAAGGTGTTGGCCTGCGGCATGTTGACGCCAGTGCGGCCGAAGCCGGTGGCCACAGCCGAGACGCCGGCGTACGTCTGGCCGGCTTGCGGCAGGCAGACGGGAGCTACTCGGCTGTCGAAGACGATGTTGCGGTCCAGGCGCAGTAGCGAGAAGTCGAACCCAATGGTGACATTGACGTACTGCGGGTGATCCAGGATCTGGACGACCGAGTAGCGGCTCTCACCGTCCGGCACACCGATCCGATGGTCGCCGAGCAACACCTGGATCTGGGAGGCAGTTTTCTCTTCCGTGCAGTGTGCCGCCGTCAGCACGTACCGATTGTTGATGACGCTGCCGCCGCAGAAGGTGCGCGTGCCACCGGGAGGTGCCAGGCCGGCCTGCCACGGGTACTCGTTGACGCCCGTCTCGGTGCCGCCCACGACCCTGCTGCGCCGGTTGACCTGGCCACAGCAGTCGGCGGCGGGCACGGTGATGTTGCAGAGGTAGCCGCGGCCCTCCACGTGGCTGTCAGCCCTGAACTCAATGTCCAGCGAGGTGCTACTCATTTCGGCGATGCTGCCAGTTCCGCAGTACTTGCGTCCATTGATAGAGAGCCAGTCGTTTGCGCATGATGCATGTGCTTCTATGTCATATTCGGGACACTTGATGCGGATGGCCTGGTCTTGTTGGCCTCGTATTATCGGGTAGTCGACTAAGATCGCATCGGGATAATTGCTAGGATAGCCAGGAGATTTTATGTGATATCGACCAGCACGGAGCCGTAAGACATCATTACGGTTGGAAGCCTCGTTAAGCGTCCGCCGGGCGGGAATGCTCTGACGGATCATTGCTGCACCGTCAGAGACTGGCCTCAGTGGCAGATGTGCTGCATCCAGGTATACACCTGGCAGCGGAGACGGTCTTAACTCCTTTACCAACTTTGCAGGCTCTCCCCAATGAGAGGGTAGGGCGAGAGAGCCGCCCAGAACCAAACACCACGTCAGGACAGAGGTGTTCATAACTGGTCGGTGATCTGTGCAGCGATTCAGTCTGCTTATATACCCCTCCAGCCGAGTACAGACGTCAGGTGGCGCATCCGGTGCACTGCCTCCGTTGACAGCGTCCATGTGCGGCAGTTGGAGTTATGAACGCCGAAGATTGGTAGCTCAGGTGTTACATCAATCTTTCTGCCGTGTAAAAAGACATGCATAATGACATTCAAGGCAGATGTGTGCAACCATGCGTCTTCTTTATTGTCGTGCGTTGTAACGGAAAGGTCGTACAAAGACCAGAAGCGTAACATCACAAGTGTTATGAACACAAATGGAATCACTGCATTTGTTTTGCCAGGGACGCAGTAAGTCCTCATGTGGCGGTAAGTATTCGTCTCTGAACTAGATATGACCGTTCCATGCAATGTTGAATCTGCTTGAAGTTTCTGTCCCTTACGTATGTGTGTTACGTCGGCCGTCTTCCTTGTTACACTTCAAGTATTTGATGAAGGTCTACGTATTGTTGATCAGAAGTCGATCGCGGGTCTCCGAAATTGCGGATGAGCTTGCTAGTGTTTACGAAATAGGAATATGATTACACCATGAAGGATTTTTCGCCGCGCGAATTGATATATTTACATTGATAAAAGATTGCAGAGACCTAGCAGCCCCGTCGTCGGGGAATGGTTTGTTGCCGTCTGTGTGACATCATTGTTTCAGGTACAATACCGAAATATTGTAAGTATTTCTTGCAACCGGATCATTCAGTCGTGTCCAATGTGTGTGTGTGTGTGTGTGTGTGTGTGTGTGTGTGTGTGTGTGTGTGTGTGCGTGTGTGTGTGCGTGTGTGTGTGTGTGTGTGTGCGTGCGTGCGTGCGTGCGTGCGCGCGCGCGCGCGCGCGTGTGTGTGTGTGTGTGTGTGTGTGTGTGTGTGTGTGTGTGAGCAATTAGGTCTGCCCGCGTTCGCTGTTGGACGCATTGAAGTGGTTCATCAAATTGTTTGTGCCTTTTCTTGAATTTTTTGAAATTTTCTTGAAAGTTCGCTGTGTCTTTTCTTGAAATTTTTTTGTACTTTTGTGTCAAAAGTTATGGTACGTTGCAGAGGCGCGTTCAAATTACCGATTTTGAAATGGACCAGCTGAAATTTGGCGATCCGGCGAGATGACGTTACTGGATTATTTTACCGCGGTATTTTTCGGCCCGCCTTGTGTTGACAGGAACTGATGCCGTTTCTTGTTGGCTGCTTTTGCTGTTTCCTACCTTGAATCGGTAGAATGCATACGTTTCCATACGTCCCTTGGTATGATATTTAATGTTTAGTTTATGCGGACATCTGATGAACCGTTCAATGTCAGCACGATCAGAAAACGTCTTTACAGCATGCCACGATATAAGGCATACACAAACATACTTTTCACTGTTGGAACTGGCGTGCAAAACTAACCGTGTGGCACAGGGAACAGGAGATGGCCAGACTCGGTTGTCAAGGTCATTGACATTTGCTCAGCAACCAATTTCCGAGTTGTCATTATCATGCGAAGTGGAGTGATGTGTTTGGAGAGCCCGTTGTGATATGAGATGCTGTCTTTCGGGTGTTGCGTTAGTGTGTGGTTGGGTGCGTGTGGGTGCACATGTGTGCGTTGCATAGCATAAACTGTATTTCAAGCCGCTTTAACACCGGCGGTGTTTTCCAGGATCTAGTACGCTCATCTTCCTGCTTTGTGGATCAGTCACCGCTTGTTATGAGTCAGTTGTCGTCGGCGCCCGACGGTGGCTTTGCTTTATTTATGGCCGAGGTCGCAGTGCGTTGTGTAGATACTATGAAATCGTAGATATGATGCTACATCACGCACCCATGACTGTGGTCATGTTGTGTTATCGAGTACTTTACCGCGTGATGTGGCAGCACGATTATCTATGAAATCTGCCAGTCAAATGGATCGGCAAAACATTACGATGCTCATGCGTTGGCACAACTTGGTGCAAAGAATATTGATAGAGTATATCGGTTCAGTTGCTGAAAATATTATAACATTTGGAATATATTACAATACTTCAGCTGTTAGAGCACGCAAAGTATACACCTTTACACGTCGATGTTTTTTACGTGCAGATAGTATAGTGATTGTGTCATAGGTATTTAAATAACAAATCATAACGCAGTAAAGCACCAAACAATTTAATTAGAAGGAGCAGATACTCGGTTTGCAAATTTACGCTGGGCTTTATAAAACATGTACAGCTGCGCTGAGTGCAGACACAATGCCCTTTGTTTGCTCCACACAGATCCAGGTTTACAAGCGTCATCTCACTCCTTCCCGCCAGTCAAAATCTGCCTGTTGTCATGTTCTGGTCACGAGTCGGGATACCCCTACTTCCCCTTTTCCTTCTGCTGCTGTGCTCTTGACTGTGTCGCCGTGGCTGTCGCCGATGTGAACGTGTCGAAAAAGGCGTCAGCCTTGTCCAAGGCGTCTTGAATGCTTTGTCCAACAAGCTGTAGCTAGTTGCGCAGGACATTTCAACCAGCCGTCAGTCCTTTTCCCCTATGGTGACCATGACGTTCTGGAATGCCTCCACGGGCTTGATGCTCTCAAATGAGTTGTACTAAGCTTCATTGTCTTTGGCCAGCTACCTTTAAATGACATCGAGGCGCCGCCTGAGCCCTCCGAGCAAGAAAGGCGTGGACCCTGATATAGTTGGTTAGACGGCATACCACACCAGGGATTGAAATGCACGTCACGACGAAGTGTATAATCATACAGTTCCATTGATTTTACGAGGGTTGGAAAGATGTGAAACAGGTAGACAAATTTAAACTGAACAACTTTTTACGGATGCAAACACCATTGTGCAACGCGCGAACGACCATCATACCGTCGCCATTTCCCCTCCATACAATAGCAGGTCACATCTAGTGAGGCTCGGGCGAGAGGTTACAAAAAATGCAGCACACTGTTGGGCAAAGACGGTAGTATTTCGGAACGCTCGAAGTCGATGACTCATTCTGAAAGCGTTTATCGTGGTTCGTAACGTAAAATGGTCTAGGTGAATTATTATCAACTCTAAGCTTCTCAAAATGCTGCGTTCCATCTGTCAAACTATTTTTAAAAATTATTAATCGAAACCTTGGACATCGACAACGCGAATTGAAGTGCCCGAAAGACGTGGAGAAATCAGGTTTCGGGTAGGTTATGCTAAGTCGTCGGATGAGCCTCCTACCGATCGAAAAACTTACACCAATGCCTGGGGCTTTCAGTTTACCGATTGGCTATGGGTTGTCAAGATTTTTATATGATTTATTTTGTCGTGATAGCCACTATCCACGTCAGTGGAAATTCCCTCTCTGGCGATTGGCTGGAACGGTCTCGAGCAACAGAGACACCCGCGCCATCGGGTGGCAAACAGCGGCGGCACCTGCAACAAATCCATTTTCCGTCAGCCCTGATCTTGGACATAAACGTACCCGGCTCCCAATGGTGGCTCCTGGTTTTCAATGCCTCTTCAGGAAAACTTGACCCTGGTTTCGGGTTCCCGGTGGTTGTTTCTTAACCCCCACTCCTTGTTCCTGGATCCTCATGATTGTCTTGCAAGCTTCGCACCCTGGTTTTCTGTCCTCACTAGTTCTTCAGCAAATCCTAACATCAATATTCTATTAACACCGGATCAGCTGTGAAACGCGGACACGGTCAATTACCTGACAGAAACGTTATGTGCATACTAACACACCAAACAAAGATGACACTCCGAACAAATGTCCCACTCGTGATACCAAAAGCTCGTCTCAAATCTTACAGAGAACTATCTCAGTCTGCCATTTTACGTCATCGTCTGCACAAAGCTTATACGCACAGCGGAAACCGACGTTGCATGGTGCCTACCTTTTGTAAAGACGGTTCAAACCTTTTAAATGGATTTATTCCTGGGGTCCGACATCATGCTAAGCACTATTTGATGCATGGGCTCCGGTTCTTGAGCTCCGGCTCTCGCAATCCGATCGTGCAATCCCAGGTCAACGGCAGAGTTTGGTGGAGACAAATTAGCTTGCCGCAATGCCCGGCATGGAACCGTTCTGCCCTGTGACGTTATCTGTGCTTTAAAGCGGCCCATGTCACTGGCCAAACGCCATGCCTGTCAGGCGCAAAAGCGAGCACCAGAAGAGATTAGACCCCGCCCATGAAAGTTGAGTAGGTTGGAAGATGGGTCACCTGACTAACAACTCTATCGGGAAAGACTTATTTTCTAAGAACTTTCGTGAAGATAGTTAATGATACAGAACACATTTGCTATTGACAAGGAGCGGATGAATATCATAAAACGTACGTCACATAGAAAACACGCTTCGAAACTAGTTCAGCACACATTAAGACCGACCTGAGAGTACCATTATGCCAAGGTAGAAAAAAGATTCGTGGGGTCCCACGAAATACCCACGGCATAACTTACAAAAGCATAAACACCGAACATGACCGAGTGTCGGCGTTGTCTCATGGATGCTGATGTTGCAGTGAAACCATTTACTGCCATACTAGCACTCTCCTTACGACCGGTGTTGTCCCATCATCTTCACCAACCGCCAACAGCCCTGACCCGTGAATCTTGGGGATGGCGCACGGGTTGACGAAGGACGCGGTGTCAATGAGCGTGTAGCGGCCGGAGACGGACGTCACCAGTGGGCCGCCGCTGTCGCTTTTGCAGACGTCCTTGCCGCCGGAGGGAAGCCCACCGGCGCAGATCGTACTTTTACACAGAAGTCTTCTCCAGACCTGCGCACAGCGCCGCTGCGTCCAGACGGGCAGCACGACTTCGAGGAGGGTGTTGGCCTGCGGCACGTTGGCACCAGTGCGGCCGAAGCCGGCTGGCCACAGCTGTGACGACGGAGTACGTCTGGCCGGCTTGTGGCACCCAGCCGGGAGCCACTCGGCTGTCGAGGACGATGGTGAGGTCCAGGCGCAGCAGCGAGAAGTCGAACATGGGGAGAGAGGGGATGCACGGTGGGTTCAGCAAGGTCTGGACGAACGAATAATGGACCGTGCCGTCCGTTACACGGGCCCAAGTTTCTCTGATGCAAGATCTAGGTTGCTCATCCGTCGCCCAGCGGCACTCGAATTTGGGCAGCAGAGTCTGTGCCATGGGGTATACCGCTACCAGCACGTACCTGTTATTAATGACGCTGCGCCCACGGAAGGTGCTCGTGTGCCTGCAGGAGATGCGCGCGCCGATACGGAACAGCTGAGTAGCGATTCAAAAGGTGCTCATAGCGCGGCGGTAGGCGCTCATAGCACAGCGGAAGGTGTGCGTTACGAAGTGGAAGATGTGCGTAGCGCTGCAGAAGGTGTGCGTAGCGTTGCAGAAGGTGTGCGTAGAGCAGCGGAAGGTGCTCGCAGCGGTGCGGAAGGAGCGCGTAGCGCTGCGAGGCAATATTTCTCTCCGGTTGTCCTTTGACGCCCGCCGATTTCAGCGACGGGGGTTGCAGCATCGTCCAGACGCTCTCCGTCGGTGGCATGTCTGCCGGCATTGCTTCCCTCAATGAGAGGGTACTGCGAGGGAGGCACCCAGGAACACATACCAGGTGACGCTGCAGGAGCCATAGTCTGGTCGGTGATTTGAGCAGCAAAGGAGTCAACTTACATAACCCTCCAACCGAACACGTGTGTCCGGCGGCACATCTGGCGCATTGTCACCGTTAACGGTGGGATCAGTTATATTTATGAATGGTAAGAATTGCTGGCTCAGCCCTTGTATAAATCTTTCAGACCTGCAGAAAGACAGGGATAAAGACATTCAAGCCAGGTGTCAGAAGCCATGCATCTTATGTGTTGCCGTGCATTGCGAAGAGCTGCTCATGCCAGGCTCTAAAGCTGAACTGTACAAATATTATGAATTAGAACTGCCCGTCTCAGATATTTGGAACACCGACACGCGCCCGGATCCCGAAGTTTAAGTCCCACTCAGCTCCGCAAAGTCAGCTTCTTAAACGTTTCGGGCGTGGCGAGCACGCACTCGGGTACACATGAACATAACATGGCATGAACGTAATTTACGTCAGGTAAGCTTACCTATGCACTAATTCCACCATTCCTAAATCGAACGTTTACTGCTTAAATTGAATACTTATATAAATTAAACAAGGTTGAAAAACATACAGTGCGTTTAATCAAAATATAGTGGGCTAAATCCGGTGAGGAAAAAATGCGGGTGAGTAGGCTGTCGGGCCTCCGGATGGGCTGCCTAATAACTTACAAAAAATTGACGCCTCTGTGCCGTTTCATAAGTTGCAGCATAGGCAATTTCCGCCGCTGACCTGCATGGCCGCTGCCTGCTCGGACGGTCCACCGTGCTCACACCGAGCGACGGTAGTGCCGCTATTTTCCCGACTACCAGGCGCTCCAGAACGAGCCCCGCGGGATCGGCTGCAGTTGCATCCGATGTGGCAAGGCGATATCCGTTCGGAAAGCCGGTTGAGCGCTGGCCCACCGCTGATGACGACGGCCGCGGCGCCGCCGCTGGCGCAGATGGCTCCGCCGCGCTCACGCCAAGCCCGGCGGGGCTGCCGCTCTAGCTGGCGCTCGTCGGACAACTCCCACAGGGCTCGGCCGCCGTCGTGGTGGATTCGGTTGTGAGCGTCTAGGTCGCGATAGCTGATACTGCCGCAGAGTGGAGGTCGGCACACTCATTGCCGCGGAGGCGTCGCTGGTGTGAGCATGAATGCGTGGGTATGTATTAATTCCATTGGGCCATCCAAGCCGAGTCATCCACAATGAAGCACAGCTATTGCAGCCCGTATCAAGAGTAGAGGCGGTACAACACATACAAGACACAGACACCCATTCACGCACAGACACACTTCGTACGCTCTCACCGCGCGTACGAAACGTTGCTGTGTTAGTTGTGTAATGCCGGCTGGCGGCGTATTGTACAATGCTGGCGCTCGGTACCCGAAACGCCTACCGGCCTCGGTTCCCGGTCTAGGGAGGTGTAGGAGTCTGTCCTGCCGGGTGGTTCGCACATGTGTGTCTCGGCTGAACACAAGCAGATCTCTCAGCACATCAGGCTCGCCGTGCAGCACCGCCCCATGAACCAGGTTGACTATTTGAAGTTGTGTTATATGTCGAGGCGACATCCATCGCGGTTTGTCACGCAGGTTAAACAAGCGGTACAGTTTTCGTAAGTGAATAGGCGCTCTGGCAGTAGAGCTGATAATTTTTTGAATTGCATCAAATGTTATTCTGTGTGCCGTGCCGTAAGCCGCGAGACAGTTTCTGACCTGCGTGAGCGCCGGCGTCCGTGCGTCGGTGGCTGCGTATTTGGCGCCGACGTACGAGTCGCTGCCAAATCTGCCTCGTGCGGGGTGTGATGCCGCCCCCGCTGCCTCGCCAGTTACACAGCCTGCACAGAGAGATGAAAAGCACGGGTACTTACCATGCCCGATATATTGGGTGCACGAATAGGCATCCGGCCAGGTCGGGGACTGATTGGCTAGTTTCTAATAAATGGAATGAATATTTACATACATTTACATGGGCAAGCTGGATTACATGGTCGCACAACAATAATGATCACATTAAGAACAGGAATCGTCCATCCAACAACACAAGTCTACATTTCCACTTTTGCTACTGATGTCATGATATACGGTAGCCTAACACACATATTAGTCATCTGACAATGTTATAAGATCCGTGTAATATGTTCACATTGTAACAACATTCCTTCATTCTACATATACATAATCACCTAACCATATCGCTGCACCAGATATGCCGTCCATCAACAATAAGTCTTCACGGGCCCTTCACGATGCCTAGTCCCAAAGAGCACGCAGGTCTCCGACCGGACAGTCACGAAGCGCCACAGTTGTCTTCTGAGAACAATATCAGGGATTCGCGCACACTTTTCCGTGCGCTTACAGTGAAAGGTCAGCTGTATTATGAATGATTAAAAAGCTACCTGGTACATAACACCGATGAAATGTGGCAAACAATGTTATGTAATTCAACACTGCACATCAGTCATTTTTTACACACAAAACAAAACGGGATCACTTCCTACAGAAATCCGAACAGAGAGCATGGAATAGGCTGAACAAACCCATAGATCGGAGAGCTGTGAGAATTGTTGAAACAGGTATTTCCTCGATACGCCACGGAACAAAATAAGACGGAACATCGGTGTCTACAGCTGGTTTAATGCCTCTGAACAGCACCGGTTTGGTTACTTTCCGCCGAATCGTGTTCCTCCGCAAGCGTGCGTTGTGCAGCTTCGCTTGGCGATTACAACACACCCGTCGGTAGGCGGCCACTATCATCCTAATATGCCCAGGGTGGTGGCTTTCCAAGCCGTACTGGGCTTCTTCTGAGTGACGGCCAAGGTACAGCACGTTACCGGTGCCGATGCAGCAAACGCTCCACGCTCCAGCAAAGGTACGTGCGTGAAACCCCAAGAGGTCCATGGACAGACCCCAAGATCCAATAAGTATGGCGCTCCTGATCCTGTGTACAGCCCTGGAATCGGGGCACATGTCTGCGTTTCCAGCACACGCCGGGCCTCTGTATGGTGAGCCGAGTCCAGGTGCACCATGTAGCGGTGTAGCTCCTCCTCAGCAGTCAGGATCATGCTGACAGCTCTTACGGAGGGAGTCGTCACCCTAACAAGGCTTTCCGCCGCAGGAGGTAATACCAAGATGTGAGGTCGTAAGACCCCTGGCGACTCACCAGTGCTTCTTGACCGGTGGCGCAGTCTACTGTGCACTGCGCTGGCTCTGGCTCTGGCTACTGCGCAGGCTCCTCCTTGGCAGTCAGGATCATGTTGACAGCTCTTACGGAGGGAACCGTCACCCTAACAAGGCTTTCCGCCGCAGGAGGTAATATCAAGATGTGAGGTCGTAAGACCCCTGACGACTCACCAGTGCTTCTTGACCGGTGGCGCAGTCTACTGTGTACAGTACCCCTCGGACGACGAATACAGCCATATCGCAAACGACATTGCCGAGCACTGAAGACAGCCGTGGTCGACAGTCATGGTCGTCCAGTTTATCGAGCGCCGCTCGGTGCTGTCAGTGTCACACGTCCCATCGGCACCCCGCTGACTGGGGCGGTGATCCACAGCCAGGATGAATGTGGGATCCAGCCACGTGCCATTCCTGCCGCGTTCCGGACTGACGCCACGAACCGGTGGATCGGTTCCGGTGGATCGTGTGCCGGAACGTAGCGACGAACCGGCTGGCGCTCTGGTGGTCGTTGCGCCTACCTGCGAGATAATGAAATGATGGAAACGAACGTTATAGAAACGTTGTACTCGGGGTACGGATTTGGAGATCTGTTCTGGTCGTTAAGACCCTGGGGTACTTGTTCTTAAAAGGTCAGAGTGGGTGGTATGGATGTCTTATTCTGAAACACGTAAAAGCAGCCTGCAAGCATGGAGCACATGTTGATTTTATTCCTACAAATAACCTTCTTTTGGATAGCTCGTCGGAAGTCACTACCAGTAGTAAGCAGTGGAACAATGGAACTCATTACATGCATACGCTGCGAGGCCATGGATTACTGTCTTCAGTAATTACGAACCAGCAAACCAGGGTGCTGTTTGCGGCTTGACTTAACACAACCATTTTGTAACTACATGTTGTTTTCGTCAATGTTTGTGTCTGAAAGTAGGAAAAAAATGACATGCGACGCCTAAACGGTGGCTGCACCGGTATGTAACTAAACATTATGTCCATGGTGTATGTATGAACGTCTAGGGCAAAAATTAACAGCCTGACGGAGAGATTTTTCTCCACGCTGATTTGTACAGGCATCCAGGGCTGATTGGTCTAATAATGTTAACATCATTCATATGATTGATAGGTATCATTATTATAGATGATTGCTTAGATATGATTGTCATATATGATTGTTTATATATGTTGATATTCTTATATATAATTGTTTTATATAATAAGTGAAAAGTTTTGGTGCATTCGCTACAAATAT